TTAAACCAATCCGAACGTAAATAATAAACACTGAAATTTTCCCGACGGACATGTGTATATTGATAACGACCTTGCGATTGATAACGTTATTATTATTATTATTATTATATATAAAAGAAAATTCGGAAAAAAAAAAAAATAGAAAAACACAACGAATTCGTGTCTGTGTGTGTCTGTGATGAATGCGTGCACGAGAACGATTGTCAATAATAATAATAGTTGGTTGGAATATTAACTCGGTTCCAACGATTCTCAGTTGGCAAGACTGTAAGTGGGGAAAGAAAGAGAAAGAGAAAAAGAGAGAGTGAGAATTATAATTAGAAAATGAAATAATAATAATAATAATAATAATAATAATAATAATAAAATATATATGTATATGTGCGTGTTAGAAAGAGAAAGAAAAATATCCGTCGTACATTTATGTGAGTTGAAAAGAAATAGAGAAAATATTCACGTGTGTGTGTGTGTGTGTGTGTGGGGTACCGTAAACGTCCGGTAGGGGGACGGAAATGTGAGTGAGAGATTTAAATTTTAAAACGATCATCATTTCCCGCGCGTTTTTTTTTTTTCTCGAATTCGATTTATTTTAAAACCGGAAATACGTAGGGAGGAGGGAGGGAAATCACGTGATCATAACGTATTAATAATTTATTATTATTATTATTATTTTTGTGTTTGTTTCGATTCGGGGAAATATTTGTTTGCTCGCTCGCTCGTTAGCTCGCTCGCGTGTTTGTTCGTTTGTTTGTTTGTTTTTTCGAACATGACGATTTCCGGTTTTTTTTTTTTTTTTTTATTATTTGAAAAAAAAAAAAAATAATTTGCTTGTTTAAGTAAAATTCGCATATGCTTACGTTTTATTATTTAAAGTCGAATCATCGATTTTTTTTTTTTTTTTTGTTTGTTTTTGGCAAATGACCCCAAGTTAATGCTAATCATACGAATTTAATTAACCTTCTATATATATATATATATATATATATATATATATATATATATATATATATATATATAATTCCTTCGATTGTTATTTAAAAAAAAAAAAATCGTCTGCTTGTTTTTATGTTTTATTTTACGACTTCCGTAATTTTATTATTATTTCAGAATAAATAACCGTTTAAAAAAAAAATTTTGTTCGTTTGTTTAAATCGTTTGTTTGTTTGTTTTTCACGGACAAAATTTTTTTTTAAAACGTAATAAAAAAAAAAAAAATTTTAAATTATACTGAATACGATAAATTCTAATCTATTTGATTACTTAAAAAAAATCATTATTATTATTATTATTATTATTATTATTATTATTATTATTATTATTATTATTATTATTATTATTACGAAAGGTTAAAATTGTCTTTATTTTTTTTGCAGGTTTTTTTTTTTAGGGAGCGACGCGCGGGTATTAAAGTATCAAAGGTATAAATATGAACGTCGTGTATACCTCACGAGTCACAAATTCATTATGTGGTAAGTTTAATAATTCAAAACGAAAAAAAAAAAAAAAAAAATTATAATTTAACGACGGAATTAAAAGGTCGAAGTTCACACACACAAAAAAAAAATAAAAATAAAACGAATGCACGACGACGATGACGACACGTAACGACACGCAACGAAATTTTAAAATGTAAATTTTTTTTTTTTTTTTTTTATTTTTTATTTACGTGCTATTAGATTTCGCGAAAATTTCACGTGGGAGTAATGAATTTGCTAAGAGGGAGAGAGAGAGAGGAAGAGAAAAAAAGAACAAGAGAGAGAGAGAGAGAGAGATAGGAAGAGAAAAAAAGAACAAGAGAGAGAGAGAAAAAGAACAAGAGAGAGAAAGAGAGAGAGGAAGAGAAAAAAAGAACAAGAGAGAAAGAGAAAGAGAAAAAAAGAACAAGAGAGAGAGAGAGAGAGGGAGGGGGAGGGGGAGAGGAGAAAAAAAGAAAGAACACGAGAAAAAGCGAGAGAGAGATAGAGAAAGAGAAAGAACAAGAGAGAGAGACAGAGAGAAAGGAAAAGAGGGGGGAGAGCGAGAGAATGAAGAGAAAGAGAGAGAGAGAGAGAGAACAAGAGGGGGGGTAGAGCGAGAGAAAGACAAAGAAAGAGAGAGAGAGACCTTTCACCCGTAATAAAAATTTGACCTCGATGTTATTAAATTAAAATTTTATTTGAAACGAATGCAATACAGAGAGAGAGAGAGAGAGAGAGAGAGAGAGAGAGAGAGAGAGAGAGAGAGAGAGAGAGAGAGAATATTTTGCAATCGGAGTACCTTGAAAAAACAAAAACGATTTCATTTGTTTTATCATTAGGGGGAGGGGGGATCGTGGTTTCGATTCGATCAACAAAAAAAAATTTCCATTTTTTTTTTTTTTTCGAAATACGAGAATTGCACACATTTAATTAAAATAATAATAATAATAATATTAAATTTTTCAACGATGATTTATTTACATTGAAAAAAAATTTCAAATTTTATTTTAAATAATTAACGCGTTTATTGTTTGTTTTTTCAATACTCGGCCGCCATTTTGTTTTTTTTTAATCGCGCGAATCGATTTAAATTAATTTTAAAAAAAATTTCCCTGCCCATTGTTGAGTTAAAAACGTAAACCCGTGAAAAAATAAATAAATAAAATTTTGACGAGTTTGCGACAATTTACTCTCTCCTCCCCCTGTCACCACGGGGGAAAAGGATTTTTGTCGACGAAATGTTTTGTTTACAACGAACGATTCTACTTAAATTCTTCTCATTTAAAAATGATGATGTTCGTTTCCTACAAAATTTTTTTTTTTTTTTTTGTTCCAGGGATTTATTCGTTATCAGAGGACATTTTTTTGGAAAAAAAAGAAGTCATGGAGGATTTACATAACAAAGAGGTAAAAAAAAAAATATTTAAAAAGTTTTTTATTAAAACAATTTTCGTTAATAATAAAAATTTTAACGAATTTTTTTTTTATTTTTTATTGCCGTAGAGAGACATCTATCGGCGCGTGCGACAACTAATCGAACCGAATAATTATTCGGATGCTGGAAAAGAACATGTGATAAATATTCATGAATGATGATAATCAGGTATCTTATTAGATCCACGTAAACAAACCTGATTGAAAATGATCGACCTGAAAGAACGAAAACACACACACGCGATAAAAAACCTTGAGGTAGGATTTTAAAATGTTGTTTTCTCTCTCTCTCTCTCTCTCTCTCTCGCATTATCATTATTTTATAATTTTGCAACATTTCGACTCGCAATAATAATAATAATAATAATAATTTTGTTACGCAATCGTTGCCGATAAGAAAAAAATGGCGTACGCTCAATTTTGCTGACCCCTTTTACCGAAAAAAATTATTTTTTCTTTCCCCTGTTTGTTGTATCATGATAATGATAATGATAATGATAACGATAATAAATTTTCTAGAAGACGACGGAAAGATTTAAATAATAATAATAATAATAATAATAATAATAATAGTAATAGTAATAAATATAATTGTCGAAAAGGTCGAAAAACTTGTTTTTATTACGTATATGATGACGTAAAACAAACAGCAGGTAGGAACGTTGTTGTTTGTTGTTGTTGTTGTTGTCCTTGTTGTTGTTTTTTTTTAAAAATACGATTATCATTATCATAATGAGTCGTATTAATTAAAAATACAAGTTTGTACGTATTTACGTAAGTACGTATACATATATATATATAAGAGGAAAACGATTTTATCAAAGTTTATTATTAATTAAACAATAACGATAATAATAATAAATTGTTTTACGAGACGATAAAAAAAAAAAAAACTTGAGACAAGTACGTGATAATTTTCGATATATATAATAATAATAATATTAAAATAATTCTTTTTCTTTTCGCGTGATTAATGATAACATGTTTCGTGATTAGAAATTGTTCGTCGTTTATTTTTTTACATCATTCGACTGAGATATTAAAAGGTAAGTGGCTGTGAAATTTTAAATATTGGGTTGGTAACAATGTGATTACGGATTTTTTTTTTTGAAAAGGAAACAAGGATTTGTGTCGATAACCTTCCGCCATTTTTTTTTTTTTTTTTTTTGGGTAGTATCATTATCCCATGTTTCGTAAAAGTCATTGTAAAAAAATTGTGCTTGGTTAAGACTATAAGAGGAGGGTGAATAGGCAAAACAACCCAGGGTAGCTCTCGTAGGTTTTGTCTGAAGGGGCTAAAGATGTATGGGGGGTCTGGTATTAATTTATGATTTGATTTCGTACCTGCAGGTTCAAGAGGCTTTGTAACCCCACCAAACTGATACCTTTTTTTGGTAAATGTTAGCTTTAGAGGTTGTTGGTGCTTGTTCGCCTTGTTCAGACCAGGATCTTTTCCTCAAAATGTCGTCGTAGACAACCCACTTTTCATTTCCGGTCAATATCCGCTTCAAAAATGGGTCATTCGCATTGCGTTTAAGAAGCATATCGTCTCATACCAAGTCGTCTTACACTCCCCAAGGTTATGCGATATCCGTGCGTCAAGGTTCTTTTGGTACCCAAGACGACGCACGTATGTGACACATCTAGCTTCTTTGAAATGTCCCCTGTCGAACTATGCCGATCATTAACAATTAGGGCTTTTATTCGGTCATCATCAACCTCCACTGGACCCCCAGAACGCTCCTTATCTTTCAAAGAAAAATCTTCAGAATGGAATTTCCCGAACCAGACGCTCTTTTAAGGCTTCGTCCCCCCACACGACCCACAACTTTTTATTGGCTTGTGAAGCATTACCACCTTTTCAAAAATAAAAAAGCCCACATATTGAAGGAAATGTTCGCTTTGACCCCCTTAACATATTTAAGTGTCTTTTCCTCGCGTGCTATTTAAGAGTTCAATGAACTCATCGAATGTTACAGAAGGAGCCAAATAATGTCTGTGGAAAAAAAAAAGATGGAAAATCCGTACTTACTGGCCAACCCGATATATTTTAATTCCGTTTTTTTTTCTTCTAGCATTTGTTGTTGTTTGTCCAGTAATATCGAAACGATGGATTATTACTACGTCACGCTACTAATAATAATAATATCCGCTTTGACTTGGTTCATATACGCATTAGCAAATAGAAATTGTAATTATTGGAAAAATCGTAACGTTCCCTACGTGTCACCCGTACCATTTTTTGGAAATTTAAAATCCCTTTTATTCCTCGAGAAAAACGTCGGGGAATTTTTAGGGGATTTATACAATAGTGAAAAATTACCGGATCACGGATTTTACGGGATTTATTTAACGAACAACGATCCGGCATTGATAATAAGGGATCCGGAATTGATAAGAAATATATGCATTAAAGATTTTCAACATTTTTCAAATAGAAACGCGACGAGCGATGAAAAAAATGATCCACTCGGATACAATAACCTTTTCACATTAACTGGTACGTGTAAGATAAAAATTTAATGATAATGATAAGTATTTACCTTGATCTCTTTTGGGGGGGGGGAAATTTCAAATTTCAGGTTCGAAATGGAAATTCATAAGGACTAAATTAACACCGACATTTACGTCGGGAAAAATGAAACAAATGTTTACTTTGGTCAAAGAAACATCGGACGAATTAATACGATACCTGAATGAAAATTCAAAAGAGAAAAATTACACGATTATGGAAACGAAAAGAATTTTAGCCAAATTTACAGTCGACGTCATATCAACCTGCGCGTTCGGTATAAAATCAAATTGTTTAAGGGATGAAAAATCAACGTTCGGTTTTTTTTCCGATATGATATTCGAAACGACGGTGAAAAGAGCCTACGAATGGCGAGCATTTTTTTTCGTACACTGGATGATCAAAGGACTCGGTGGGGTTTTCTTGAGAAAGGAAAGCACGGAATATTTCCGTAAAGTTTTCGACGAAACCATGAAAGAACGTGAGAGTCAAAAAATATTCAGAAATGATTTCGTTGATAATTTGATCAAATTGAAAAACGAACAAGAGGAAAAATTAAAAAAAGAAGAAAATGGAAAGAAAACTTTTGATAAAGATGAAATATTCGGTGAGGAAATGATGATGATGAGAAAATTTTTCTAGCAGAACCTTTTTATTAATAATTTTTAACGGTTGTAGAATTAAAAGGTGATTTACTGTTGGCACAATCTGTTGCCTTTTTCACCGCCGGCTTTGAAACAACATCAACGACTATGACGTATTCTTTATACGAATTAGCACTCAATCCGGAAGTGCAAGAAAAATTAAGGGAGGAAATATTACGCTCTATGGAAAAACACGATGGTTGTTTAACATACGACGGAATTATGGAAATGAATTATTTATCTATGGTCGTTTCCGGTAAAATGATCATAATCGTTAATTCGAACGAGTGTTTCGATTGGAGTTTTTTTTTACTCTATGATTTTAATTTTTTTTTTTTTTACAGAAACTTTAAGAAAATATCCACCGCTACCATTTTTAGATAGGATTTGTACGATGGATTATAAAATTCCAGGAACGGATGTCGTCGTGAAAAAGGGAACACCGATTTACATTCCCCTATTCAATGGGTTACACTACGATAGTAAATATTATCCGGAACCGGAAAAATACATACCGGAAAGGTTCACGGAAGAAAATAAGAAAACTCGTCATCCATATTCGTATTTACCGTTTGGCGAAGGACCGAGAACTTGCATCGGTTTAATCCTTTTTTTCTCTTTTTTTTTTTTTGCTTTTATTCTTTAATTTTTGGATAAGAAATTTATTTATTTGTTTTGTTTGTTTCAGGTGCTCGTTTCGGTTCAATGGTATCGAAAATCGGTTTGTGCGCCATTTTGTCAAATTTTAAAGTTGAAACGTGTTCGAAAACGGCCGTGCCATTGGAACAAAATCACAGATCCCTTTTGTTTTGCACGAAAGACGGATGTTTTTTAAAATATACAAAATTATAATTTAATCGATACATCGATCGATTAATCGATCACTCGAATCTAAATTATTTATCATCGATACAATTTCGAAATGTAAGATTTTTAGCGTAATCGATTCGAAATCTTATCACGTCGGGTGTGTTTTTATTATTTTTTTTGTTATTTATCATCATTATCATTTTTGAATGAATTTAATTTGTCCTAATAATAATAATAATAATAATAATGATAATAATAATGATAATAATAATGATAATAATAATGATAATAATAATGATAATAATTTAATAATTAAAGATTCGGAAAGAAAAAAAAAGAATTATTTAGATGAAGTTAAACCTTTTCCTAATTATAATTAGTAAATATATGAAATAAAGAAGTTTCAATTTGGCAACACTGTTTTAATTATTTCGTATTATTTGCAAAAACAAAACAAAACAAAAGTCCGCCATTTTGTTTTTCCCCGTCCGTGTATATAGAAAATTTTAAAACCACGTGACTTTTTTTTATCGTCGTCGTCGTTGTTGTTGTTGTTGATGGTGGTGATGTTGATGGTGGACTTAATGTCGTCAAGCGTTATTCAATTTTTTTTCTTTTTCTTTTCGTTTTTGTTTTAATTTTTTAAATTTAAATTTTTTTGTTTTGTTTTTTATGAGTGAATTAAACGATTGGAAAATGACGACAAGTGAAAAGTAAGTTTTTAATTTATTATTAAAAAGAATTTATTTTAAAAAAAAATAAATAATTACTACTGCGGTAATAATTTCATGATTATTTTTAAAAAATTTTTTTTCTTTCTTTTATGCGGTTAATTTAAACGAGGAAAACGTTATTTTAATAACGTATTTTTTTTTTTTAATTAAAAATGTAACGGTTTTAGCGTGACGGTTGACACCGAAACGATTGAAAAATTAACCGAAGGTTTCGTTAATATATACGAGCCGACTTTAAAATCTATGAAAAAACAATTATTGGAAATAATTAAAAAACAAGAATTCGTAACGCAAGAAATGCACGATTTATCATTGAATTTACACGAGAATTTATACGATCACGAACTTCAAGACATGTTTGATAAAATTAAAATATATAAAGATAAATTATTTGTCGTGAGGAAAAACATGATTTACGTTCAAGAGCAGAGTACAAAACTCAAAGTAAATTTAATTTTATGTTTTCTTATGCTAAACACATGCCAAACGGTATCAAATTAATTTAATTTGTCAATTATAGAAAAGAGCATTAAAACTTGAACAGCAAAAACAAAAAGAAATGATGGATAAGGCTGAAAGGCAAGAGTACGAAGAACTTTTGGTTAGAAAATCATCGAAATGAATATTTTATTGTTACTGTTATCGATTTTTATGAATTTGTTTTGTTAATATTTGCGAATATATTTATATTTATATATATTTTCTTTCTCATTTGTTAATAAACCTTTTTATTAATTATTAAGTGCAAAAAGGATTACAATTTCTAATCAATTACGATTGTGATCGAAAAGGTTGAAATAACGATAAGGAATAAAAATAAAATAGAAAAATTTTGTCATTTTATCAATTTGCATTAATAAATTTTATTAGCAAATTAAATCCCAAAATTTAGAACATCTGATTATTATAAAATGATGTCATCAAAAAAGAAAATATTTTTTTTTTGGAAAAAAAACGATAGAAAGAATCTACTTCAACTTCTTTTTCGGTCTGATGTTGTTGGTGTGACCACATTTTTTCTTACGACAGTTAGTAGCTCTAGGATGAAGTCTTGCATAACATTTTCTGCAAATCATTTTCTCACAGTTGTATTTTTGAGCTAATATTCTCAAAGTGGGTTCGACGATTCCACCTCTTAAACGTAGAACGAGATGAAGAGTCGATTCCTTTTGAATGTTGTAATCGGACAATGTTCTTCCATCTTCTAACTGTTTACCAGCAAATATGAGACGTTGTTGATCGGGCGGGATTCCTTCCTTATCTTGAATTTTGGCTTTAACATTTTCTATTGTATCAGAGGCTTCGACCTCGAGTGTAATGGTTTTACCCGTGAGGGTCTTGACAAATATTTGCATTTTTGACCCTGTAAAAAATTTTGAATATTCAATCCATAACAAGTTGAAATAAAAAAAATAAATGACTATTTTAAACAATGTTTTAAAAAATAAAATAAATGATGATAATAATTGAAATAAGGCTCGCGAACAATTTCCTCACGCCAAGTAGTGGCTCCTAATTGAATTTTTATTCCCAATTTAACGTTTTTTATTCTTTAAATGTTTAAAAAAAAAACATTTTCGACAACGGATTTATTACAAATACTTACAAAACTATTTAATTTACAAACGAATAATATTATTTACAACAGATTGTTGAAATTAACAAAGTGCAACGTGATTCTTCGCATTAATTTTTTACAAAGAATTTAAAATGGATGACGAAAAGTGTTGCCAACATGAATCAATCACGTTTCGTAATCGCATATTTAAATTTTTTTTTTTTTTTTCGAGTAGAAAATTTATTTAACTTTTGTAAAAAATTGTTTTTTACTTTTTTTTTTGTAAAAGAAATGAATTACTAAATCAACTTTTTAAATTTATATAATGTCGAAATGTGAAATGATTTTTTTTTATACAATTTCCCGTGTTAATATGTAACGTTGATTTATCAAAGTAAATTGAGTCTGTTAAACTTTTTAGTGTTTAGATTATGATTTTTAACAAATTTATTAATTTTTTTACAATTAATTATTTTTTTAATTATTCGAGTGATAGGAGGAAATATTATAAAAATGATAAATTTTATAATTCATGATTAAAAGTTATCGAATAATAATAATAATAATTAAATTGAATGTGTATGCGAATGTTGTATCGAATGCATGAAATAATTATCAGGTAAGTATTGATAATGATTTAAATCCTTATAAAATTATTATTATTATCATCATCTTTTTACAAATTAAAATATACATTACAGGGTTGTTTAACAAATTTCAAATCAAAGCAAAAATGGGTTGTTTTAAACCATTGAGAAGAATTTCAAATTATTATTTTTCAATTGAAATGATTGCGCCTGTAATACTTCAACCTATGTTGATTGGATTAATAACAAATTTAATGCCGAATGATGTTAAATACATAGCATTGTATTTAAGTATTGTTTTAGCTATAATAATAAAAATATCTGCGGATAATTTGAGTCCTTATTTTCTCCATTATTGGACAGTTACATCGATAACATATATCATAATCGTATTCGAGTTTACGATAGTTCCGCTGGCAGAAATATTGCCTGAAGAAAATTTTTTTTTAGTTTTATTCACTGTATTATCTCTCTTTTTTTTAAATCTTACTGTCATTAACAAGAGTAAATCAGTCAAGGGTGATGATGTTGAAAAATTAAATGTTTATTCGAATGGAAACGGTGTGGGAAGCATGTGTCAGACGTGTAAAATAAAATTAGAATTTAAAAATTATCATTGCGGCATTTGTAAAGAATGCATATTTAATTATAATCATCATTGTTATTGGTTAAATTGTTGCATTGGAGAATCAAATTATCATTATTATTTTGCCGGTATTTTTTTTGGAGTTTTTGCAATGAGTTATGCGTCTTTGTTAATTTTAACAACGATTTGCAGTCCCGATTATTATTTTGGAATATTATTACCTGAAAATTGTACAGATGTTTGTGGTGCTATTGAGTAAGCATTAATTGTTATTGTTATCATCATTACTAATTTTTCTCTTATTATGAAAACTTGATAATTTTTTATTTATTTTTCAGACCATGTGCCTGTGTTGTGAGCGGTGTCTACTGCTTATTAATAGCAGTTATACTTTTTATTAAAATCATTTATCATTTTTATTTGATTAGTAGAGGGAAAATGTGGGGGGGATTCGATGAAAAATCGAAAAATATTACTTATAATAATAATAATGGATTTATTTATAATTGGAGTCAATTTTTAAAAAAATTCAAACAGATAAAATTTGAAATTTGAATTTAATAAATTCAGTCCCCTTTTTTGTTTTTTTTTTTAAAAAAAACTTTAACACAAAAATTTATAAAAGTTTAATCGAATCATTTAAAAGTTTATTTATTTATTATTTATTTATTTTGATAAAAATTTAAAGTTAAGGCAGCTCATTTTTATTCATTAATTTTTTATTTATTATTTATTTGAATAGTTTTTTTCTTTTTTTTGAAAAACTTTAATGAATTGTTAAATATATTTAATAATAAAAAAAATTATTTTTCTATGTTTGTATATTTATTTCAAGTTTTTTTTTTTTTTTGTTCTTTAATAAATTTGACACTATGTAAAATATTACGTAAGTTATTATTAAAAATTGTGTGTAAGTTGTAAAAAAAAAAACATTTTAATTGTGATTATTTTAAAAAAAAAATTTTACCGGTATTTTAGATATATATATATATAAAAAAAAGTTTCCGCCATTTTGAAATTTTGAAAAAAAACCACTGACATTTCTCCCGCGAACTCGTTTGTAAAAAAAATTTACATTTCATATGTTGCGTCTCTGTTATTAGTAAGTAGTAGTACAAGTTGTTTGTTTTTACGTAGTGGAGACTGACTCGAATGGAAAAGAAAGATTACCAAAGAAAATGAATTGATATGTTTTGTCAAATATTATTAAAATGGGATGCATATCAAGCAAAAAAGATATCGAAGATATTTATCCGAATATATTTCAGGTAAATTATCATCTTTGTATTTTATTATCATTATTATTAATGCGTTCGAAACTTACTGCTTACCTTCAACAAAAAGAACAAAAATTACAATTGAAATTTTTTTAATAATATTGAGACAATTAGTTAATTTCAATTAAAAAATGTATTAAAAAAAAAAAAAAACGGTTTTGTATTTATATTTTGTAATTTACATGATTGTTGTAAACCAACCGTAGATTATTAACATAAAATTATAAATTTTTAAAACTCTCTTCCATTCTTGTAATTTTTCACTTTAAAAATAAATTTCAATTGTAATTTTTTTAAAACTATTTATAATAAGTATCATTCAGTAAAACGTTTACAACGTTTAATTCATGTCATAAATTTTTTAGTGACATTGTGTGTGTTTGTGTCATGTAATTTTAACTGCCATTTTAATAATAATCAAACAAACAATGATTAAATTCATTTTTCTTTTTTTTTTTTTTTTTTATTCCAGCATCGAGTGAAATATAATGTATATATATTTTGTGTAAATTGATATAAAATTAGAAGGCAAAACATGGAAAAGAATTGAAATTGAGTTTATTTGTATTGTTTTATTTAATAAAAACCTGTTTGATACTTACACATAATCGAGAAAGAAATGTCGAAATGATGTCATTTTGTAAATCGTTATTTTATTCATTTATTTATGTATTTTTTTATTTTGTTAAATTAAATTATTTATTAATGATTTTTAGGTGATGAATGTGGATGAACATGGTAATCATGTAAATCCAGGACAACTTGAAATAACTGATTTCGATTTGATTCTTTACCAAAGAGGTAAATCACCCATTAAATGGCCTTTGAGAACTCTCAGAAGATACGGTTTCGATGCTGAACATTTTAGTTTCGAATCTGGGAGAAGGTGTCAAACAGGACCTGGGATTTATGCTTTTCGATGTCGCAGAGCTGAACAATTATTTAATCTTTTACAAAGTAGAATTCAAACAAGGTTGAATGGTGAAAATGAAATAAATGATAATTCTGGGAATTTTGGTAATTCCATCATCAATAGGGATTCAATGTATTTGGAACCGGCACCGTTGAGGAGAGGGAATCCCGGTAGTAGGTTTTCATCTCAAAATGGCATGACGCGTTTGAGTTCGGTCGGTAGCGCGAGTGGAAGTTTGGGACCATTGTCACCCCAAAGTGTCAATTCCGTACCTTTGCCATTGGATACGGTGCCACTCATTCCTCCGCTTCCGACGAATCGTACGACAAATCAAAATTTGTACGCGAACGAAGACATAATCGCATCCGTGACGCAAGATATGGAAGAAACGAATAATAATAAAACGTTGAACGAACCCTCTTATTCACCGTTGGAACCCTCTTATTTGAATTCAACGGTTTTGGATTTGTTGGCAAAAGACGATTTGAACAATATAACGAACGGTGAAAACGATGAAAAAGACGTGGTAGGAGATGAACCATCTAGTCCGCTCATAGATAATAATCATTTGTACATGAATATAATACCGGGAACGGATAAGGTAGCACCGAGGTTTCCAACCGTACAAAAACCGTTACACAACACGATCAAATTCGTTTCGAAAAAATGGGAAAAAACTACGGGGGAGAATGACGATGATAATGATGATGATGATGATGAGGGTGATGATGACGTCATCACAGCTACCTACGCTAATTTCGACGTTCAATCGTGTCTGATGGCGGCGGGGATGGCGACGATGACGACGACGACGACGCCGTCGTCGAATCCATCGCAAACGGAAACGAAAAGGCTGAATTACATAGTTTTAGATTTGGAACCGAGTACCGGGGATCCGCCGAAATCACCGACGTCTATGGCACCCCCGGATCCGACGAGAAAACTTTCCGGTGGTTATGCCGCCATTGATTTTAAAAAAACCGTCGCGCTTTCTCATTCGGTCAATCCGAATTTCGACACGGACAGTGAAAGTTTAAGAAAAACGAGACACAGTTCGAACGCGAATTCAAATTTGTTCGCGAACGAAAGGCACAATTCGACAACGGCCAACGAGTAGTAGTTAAAAACCGTTTTTTTTTTTTGTAAACGACATTGCCAAATTTTTATTTTTATTTTTTTTTTATTCATCGTTTGTATGTTTGTCGAAAAAAAAAAAAAAAAAAAAAAAAACAACCGAAAAACATGTTGCCTTAAATCAAGCGCACGCAAATTTTAATAAATTATTTGGAAAAACCGTTACGAAATTCGCACGCGCTCGCAAACGCGCACACACGACTTTCACGTAAATACGTAAAATTTTGTTTTCGTTAACAACAAGTCGAAAAGTTTGTCGATGGTCGTCACGTTGCTTCCTACATTTATTTTAAAAAATACGTAAATACGTAACGTTAGTAAATTATCTTGCACGCGTAATAATTATTTGTTAGAAGACGGTCACGTTGTTGTTGCTGCTCCTGTTGCTGTTGTCGTTTGTTTTAAATATCGTTTTAAAAAGAAAAGTTTGTTCCGTCCAAAAAAAAAAAAAAAAAAAATTGAAATTTCATTACGTGACGTCACCACCGTCGTCGTCGTCGTTTGTCAATTATTGACGTTCAACATTATATAACGGTAAGTTTTTTTTTTTTTTTTTAAATATTTAAAAAAACCGTTAAAAAATTCATTATTATTATTATTATTAATAAATTTTTCAATTTTTCAGTGCGAATTCGTTGGTTTTCATCAAAGGAAACAAGCGACGGTTACGAAAAAAGGATTTATTTAAATGGGAAAAGGAAAATGGAAAAACGACGACGATGATGATGATGATGATAATGACGATCATGGTGATCATGGCGACGACAAAGATGGCGACGATGACGAAAAATTTTTTTTTTTCGTTTTTGAATGACGAAGGCCAATCCTTCCATCATTATTATTATTATTATTATTAAATTAATCGTTGGGTCTGTCGTTAAAATTTTTATTTGAATGCATCATTGTTTTTTTTTTTTTTTTTTTTTTAATTTAAATTATTTTGATTTACGGTCGAGAAAAAAAAAAAAAATTTTAAGTCATGATGATGATGATGATGATAATTATTATTATTATTATTATTAATAATATTTTAAACCGTTTGTTTGTTGTTTAAAAAAAAAAAAAAATTATTTAAACGGTTGTGTCGAATAATATGAAAATTTATGTTTCCTATGTGTATTATGTAGGATATTTGTTTTTAAACGGACAACAAACGGAATTTCGAGAATGATGTAGGGAAGGAGGGAGGGGAAGAAGGGTACACGTAAACGTGTACACGATTTAGATTAAGTGCCTGACGGTTTAAAAAATAAACAAACGAACGAACAAACAAATGTTTTGACGAATTGTGATCATTGGTTGTCGTGATCGCGATGATGATGATGATGATGATGATAGAGACGACTATGACGGTTCGTTCAAAAATAATAATAATAGTAATAATAGAAAATTTGCGTGAGGTTTTTCGTGTGCGTGCGTGCGCGTGCGTATGTTTCGCTTATGAAAATTGTCGAAAATAATGAATGTGTTATGATTAACAAGGCTCGGAATTTTCTTTTTGTCTCTTTCTCTTTCTCTTTCTCTCTCTCTCTCTCTCTCTCTCTCTCTCTCTCTCTCTCTCTCTTTCTCTCTCTTTCTCTCTCTCTCTCTTTCTCTCTCTCTCTCTCTCTCGACGGTTTTCTAATAAATAGACAATAAAAGTTTTTAATATTTAATGTTTTCGTTGTTGTTTGTTAACAAACAACAACAACAACGACAACGTAAAAAGCGACATTTAACGTAATTGTGATTTTCATTCATTCATTCAAACAATTTTTTTGTGGGGGGGGGAGAGGGAAAACATTATCGTATATCAATGAGATTTCTTATTAAACATAAGAGAATAATAATAATAATAATAATGATAATGATGATAATAACGAGAGCGACGGTATTTAAAAATTTTTGTGGGGGAAAAAAAAGATTCCCGAGCCTTAATAATAATAATAATAATAATAATAATAATGATTAAAGAGAGAAATTTATTATTATTATTATTATTATTATTATTATGACGATGATAATGATGATAAAAGTTAATAATTATGTATAAATAAATTTTGCCTATAATTGTTTTAAATAGTTTGTCGAAATTTTAATATTGTTATCAATGTTATCGCGAATGAAGCTTTTTTTTTTATTTTAGGGGCGGGGATAGTGGGAGGAGTGTGAGGGAAGGGGAGGAGCTAGAGAGGGGAGGTAGAGTAGTAGTAGTCGTTTGTTGATGCTTTTTCATAGTTTGTTTGTTTATGCGCGGCTTATTTTATTTTATTTTTTATTTTTTTTCAATTAGAAAAAGGCGACGTTCGTCGTCTAGCTTTAAATTAGAATAATTTTCGATAATAATGATAATAATAATAGTGATAGTAGTATATTAATATTGATTGATTATTATTATTATTATAAATGATGACGACGACTATAAATAAATAAATAAATAAATGAGAAAGCTTGTCAATTTTTAACCGTCAAATTATTGTTCGTTAAATAAATAAATAAATAATACATGTAAATGTGATATTTATATATTGTTATTATTATTATTATCGTCGCGTTTAGTAATATATACGATTAGATTTTTTATATATATCGCTTGAGAATTTTATGTACATTGCAAGTAATATTAATAATAATAATAATTTATTTATTTATGTACGGGAGATGACATTTTCATAAATAAATAATAAGAGTGCGTGATTATTACAACGCACGCCATCATTATTATTATTATTATTAAATTGTATTTAAAAGAAAAATACGCTTTAAATGTTATTAAAAAAAAAAAATTTGTTAAACGGAAATTAATAAGTAACGGTTTTTTTCTTTTATTAAATTAAAAATAAATAAATAAATAAATTGCTCATTCATAAATTAAAACAATAAAATAAAAGAAAAGAGTTTTAAAATATTCGTTCGATCGAATCCATATTTATATATATATATATTATATTTTTTTTAATTTGTAATTAATTAATTATTGTTTGTCGTTTGTCGTTTGTTTGTTTTATTTTTGATTGGATGTGAATGTGTGTGTGTGTGTGTGTGTGCGTGTGCGTGTGCGTGTGTTTTAAATTGTAGGTGCAATGTACCAACCGACGTTTTCTTAAATTATGTTTAAATATTTATAATATGCCTAATCCATGTAAAAAAATGCCAAAGATTTTATTATTATTATTACTACTACTACTACTACTACTACTATTATTATTATTATTATTATTATTATTATTATTATTATTATTATTATTATTATTATTATTATTATTATTATTATTATTATTATTATTATTATTATTATTATTATTTTAATTTGTGTAAATTGATTGATTTTATTTTTTTTATACACCGTACGTGAAAGACTTTGCAATGTATGCCAAAGGTTATTTATTTATTTATTTTATTTTGTTTTGCTTTTTTTTTTATTTATCATAACAATTCATGAGGTGATGATGATGATGATGATGATGATGATGATAATTTAAAAAAAAAATGAAGGAATAAATTATTGTTTCATTTTTTGTATTTAAATGGTATCGAGAAATTTTTTAAGATTGTAATGATGAGAAAATAATTTAAGCGACTTAACAAATTGTATCCAATATTTGGAAATGTTATAATAATAATTATATATATATATATATTTAATTATGTATGAGATTTTAAAAAAACAAAAAAAAAAATTTTCAAATAAATTTGATTATTATTAATATTTAATTAAAATGAAAATTTTGTTTTTAATCGAACATTATAAGAAAAAAAATATTTATTTAAATTTGAAAAGTGATTAGTAGAAAAGGTAAGAATGATTTAATAAGAAGTAATTGTTATGATAAACTATGGAAAATGATTTGAAACATAATACATAAATTAAAATTAAAATTTAATGAGAAAAATTAATAAGTACATAGAATGATGTTTGTTCGATAAAAGTTGATTAGGAAAAATTTATATCGAATGCATTATGAAATAAATTTTAAATAATAAAATACTTAAATAGTTACTTTAGTGTTATGTAATTAAAGTAACAATAAATTATTAATAATAATATAAGCGAAAGATGAAGGGAAAAAAATTATTATTTTTTGGATTTAACATGATTTGGTTTTGTAATGGTGGGTTTACATGTAAGGGATAAAAATGAAAATAAAATTGAAAGTAAATAAAAGAGAGTTAAAAAATTCACACGAAGGATTAGAATTGAAGAAAAAGTATCGAAAAATATTTAAATAATAAATCGTTTCACACATAAAACTAATTAAAAACGTTATAAAAGTTAAAAAAAAAAAAAAAGAAATGAAAGAAGTCCGCCATTTTTGTTTTATTAATTATTTGTCGTCTGCTACGCACATGACAAAATACGGGTTGTATATTTAGTTACAGTAGAGTACGGACGCGCGGTGAGAGCCATACGTTCTAACTCGATTATTACATTGTGTTTTAATTAAAAATAAATAAATAAATAAATAAAATCGTGACATATTAATCGTAAAGTGTTTTAAATAATAAGTAGTGTAAGTTATTAAAAAAAAAAAAAATTATTTCGTTTAATTATAATGAGTTCGAAAAAAAATTATCATAATCAAAATCAAAACAAAGATGGAGACCGCCATGCTCGTTTCAAATAGAAACAACTGTCAAAAATTTATTTATTATAATTTTTTAAAAACGCCGGATTGTCATTAATTAATAAATAATACATAATATTCAATAAAGTTTACGTTATTAACGAAATATATTTTTATTATTAATTAAAATTTATATAATTTATTTTATTTTGAAAAGGGTGTGGAATGATACAATACAAATTGTGGGATTGAAGTTGATTGAAAATTTTTTTTTTATTTTTTTGTTTTTTTTTATGGCGGGAATTTTTTTTTAAAATTCCATCACGTATCGTTAATTAAATAATATTTATTTTCAAACCGGCGTTTATTTATTTATTTATTTATTTATTGTTTTTTATTTAAAACAATGTTTACATTAATTGACAAGACAAATACAATC